CAATGAACCTTCTCGCAATTTTTGAGCAGTTACGGCCCACTTTTGATTGGGCACATGTGATGATCTTTTCGGTGCCGCCCGGCATGCCGAAGTTTTCCCATCACAGGTCTCCTGTGTTTTGGCTGAGGCTTACTTGAGACACGCGGTGCGCATAGGATGTCAGAAAGAGCCCATGCGATATCATGTCTGCAGTCCCGAACAGCAAGCATGGAAGCTCAAGGCCCAGGGACCTTAAGCCCGGATCTCTGCTTACGCCACCCCAGGCATGAAGCTGCTTTGCGGTGGATGTTTATTTGGGACAGATTCAACTCTCGGTTCTAGCCGCTTGAACTGAACCCAAAGCCGAAAACCCAGACCCCCAAACTCCAAAATTCACGCAGCTGGAACATAAATCTTCTCAAACCACGAAACAGGGCATTGTCGAGTGATAATTTGTGCAAGGGGTTGTAGGGGGTGTCTGGGTTGGGGTTTCGAACTTTTGGGCGTACTTGGGTTTGAGACTGAAGCACTACAGATTTGGAATCGAGGGTTAGGGGCTCTCGTGGTACTGATAGCGGTTTTTGAGCCAATTAGGCAGCCTGTATAGAAGCCCTGCCAGCAACTATAATGAAGTAGGGGCAGGGGATGGGACGTGCACTCTTCAGACTGCTGTTCGGTTCAGGCTCAGGTTTTCGGTCCACGTCTTTGAGAGATGCATGTGGATTCAAGGTGCTGAGATGAGACTTTCACTTTGTCTCGCGCGAGGGGTGGACTTCTTGCAGTCCTTTGGGCTTGGCGCTTTCCTAAGCCCAGAACGATAACCACTCAGGCAGCCCGAGGATAGGAAAGGACCCACGAGTTTCATCCTGACTCCTCGAGAGCTGCCCTTACAGGCTGCCCATTTGGAGGTCTCGAGTCTACAGCAGGAAAGATTTTCAAGGAACTCTCTGCAGCACCGAAGGCCTTCACAAGTTCTCCTACTTTGCGATGCGATTCGCAGATTTGGTCCGAGCCGAAACGGGTCAAGAGTGCAACTCTCCAGCCTGAGGCCATGGGGAAGACGTTTGGCTTGAAGTTTGGTGGCTTAGGGTTTAGGATTTGGGCTGGGGAAGTCGGATGCAAACAAAAGATCCGAAAGGGGTCTAGGCGATCCCGGCCACAAGAATTACGAGTTCGGCATAAGCCATGTGGGCTTGACTATGCACCTCCAGCCTCCGTGTGACAGCATGAGCGGTGACCTGGATATCCAACACTCCCCCGGCTGGAATGCTGACTGCCGACAAGCTCGTTCTCTTCCTCTCTCTGTCTCTCTCTCTCTCTCGCTCTCCCCGTCCGCGCTCTCACTCTCTCTTTCTCCCGACTCACGCTCGCCACCTACTTGCAAGAAGAGGATGGGCCAAAACCCGAAGATTGTGGTGCAGTTTATTTAAATTGGAGGTTCGTTTACGCATTGCTTGTCCAATCCGGAGCCCGAAGCTTCCTGGCATCTGATATGCTTCGGCCCCTGGCACCCTAAAGCCCAAATCATGTAAAGCGCGGGACATCGTGGGACCGTAGGGAATGCACTTCCGAGAAGTTGTAAAATGCCGGGCAAGTCGTCAACGCCCAAACGCTGGGCTGGGCTGCCGAGCTCCGAACAGCCCACAGCCCACAGCTAAATCTCAAAACCTCAGATGACCTTGAGCTGGCTTCTGGCTTTGCAGTCTCATCTCGGCCTTAGGCTGTGAGATTGTTGGGGGAAGTCGGCGCATCTCTTCGATCATTCGGGCTTCGAGTGAAGGGCCGAGAACGACTCAGAACACTCTGAGAGTCGGGGGTTAGGGTTGGAGGCCTCAGTGCTGTCTGAGTATGTGTGAGATGAATTTAGGAGTTTCTGGGTCCTGAGTCGTGGGCCCTTTTTGAATGGGGTAAATCCAGCTCCAAAGTGACGACGCCCAGGAAAGGCAAGAAGAAGGGGGGCAAGGACGAAGTGCCACACCGCCGAAGCAGCTTGTTTCCCGAAGCCTCGAAGCCTTCAACCTGGCTTTCCAGGCTTCAGGGCTTGAGGTGCGTGAAAGTTTCAGACTTTCGGGCTGAGGGAGTTAAGCATGGGTCTCGAAGTCTGTCGACAGTGGACTGAGGACTGGTATGTTACGGTTAAGGCTTTACCGGCCACGGCGGCCCGTCGCTGCGAGGGCTTGGGGAGGCTCTCTGAATCACTCCAAATCCCCACAGTGGAGTAGATCTGCAAGGAGCCGCCCGGCATCCCGATGAAGCAGGAAAGCGAAGAGATGCATATGCAACCTGGAAGACAGCTTAGTTATCACGAACATCGTATGTTAAGGGTGCAGGTCAAACAGTGTCTTGGCTTCGGGTTCCATGAACCCCGAGCACTGAAACCAAGATGGTCATATGATTTCAAGGGTATGAACTTCATCTTGATTTTGCGGCTTGATGACGCACGTGGAGGATTGGGATGACCTGTTTGCATTTCCGGAGCAGAGATTGAGATCGTAAGTATCGGTGTCCCGTAAATCTTTGAGATGGATGGTCTGCCCCCTGCCGCAAAGCAACACACGGGATGCGCGCCGCAGGCTGTCGTCGGGCTGTCGCCTAGACTTAGACTTACTTTGTTACCGTCGTCCTGTTACCGTCGTCGGCAGGATTCGGGGCCTTGTGGCATTTGCCACTAAGACTCGCGTGGCAAGTCGGGTGGGTCACTTGACTTATACTTGACATATCCCGAGACCCCCAACATAATTTAAGCTTTCTTCTTTTAAAGCAAGGGCCACTGGAGTATCAGACATCCGGGCGAGTGGATAGTCGGATAGTTGGGGTGATGTGGATACATAGGCAAGCTACTGCACACTATGACCGGCACTTGGCAGTAGAGACGGTGACCGAAAAAGAAGAAGGGGCGACATCATGCAGGTGCAGACAGTTGTGACTGTGAAGGTGACAGCACTAGTCTCTGACGGCAATGTTGGAAGGCCGTATCAGTCGCAGTACACGCATGAAGAGTAGCAAGTATGAGAATCCTTCTTGCGAACAAAAGCATCACCATTATCAATCATTGTCATCATGTTTATGGTCTTTGACACGCAAGTTCGTGCCCGGAGTCCGGCACCCAATGGCCGAGGTACCTGAGCATGCAGGCCAGGTGTGTCTCCAGAGGATTTGTGCAGGGACAGCTAGGACTTCTCGTTAAGTTGGTTCCACAGGGTTTGCATATGGGTTTCCGTGGAGAGTATCCCGGTTTAATACGGTGGGTATTTTGGTGGTACCGGCAGGAGTAACAGTAGCAACAGCAGTAGAAGTAGCAATAGGCGTGGTGCTGGCAGTCGGCGTCGCAGCCGCCGTAGTCGCGCGGTGGTAGTTGTCTTACTCAAACGATAGTGAATTTTATTATCTTCATAGTATAGTGTGATTACCGTTCGTATTACTATGTCTGCTGCTGGTTTGAGTTTTGTTGATTGTTGCCACCAGCAAGATCACGAGCTTGGCTGTAACCACAAGTATGTGTGAGGTGGTGTGGGAGAGATAGTTGTCCCTGTAGCCATCTGCACGATAAGTGTCGATTCCCAGTGCCTTTCATGCACATTGCCAGGTCATGGCTAGGGCTTCTTGTCCCGGAACGCAGGATTCAAAGTCTCTTTGTTCGGTTTAGCGGCCGGACAATGGCCCATGGGCTAAGTCGGAGCTGCACCCTAGGCCCCCTTTGGTGAGCTTCAGACCGCTGCTCACAGGCCTCGCCGCCTCGCCCGAGTCAAAACCCCTAGAAGAGCTCTTGTAACCTGATGTAACGTGTGTGCGGGGCTCAGTATCTCAGCTTTGAGTCTTAGAACGACGGCTATCAAGCAGACCACTTCCAGCCCGAGCGTGAGCGCCGAAATCTTATCTCGTCCGAGCTGTGAGAGTTTCCGCCCTAACCCATGCACTCTTCAACGCCTATGCCATACACATGTAATGTTCAAGCCTTTGGTACTAAAGTCTATGCCGTGGCACAGGTGGAAACCTTCGAGCGCGAGTTGCAGGTCAAGTCCTCCCTCGCCGAAGAGGCGACGGGCGGTTCGTACAGAAGGCGAAGGCAGCGGTTTTGAGTTCAGGCACCCATTCTCTGTTCAGCAAGTAGGGCCACGTTACACATCACGAATCTGGCCAGTCATGACAGAAGTGCATCAAGTTCATCCTTGAAACCTCCAAAGCTTCTCTTCGTTGGCCTTCAAGCATCTTTACATGTAAAAGATAGAGAACTTGTTTCGAAGCCTCAGGAGAGTTGTATGCCCTTGGCGCCTTCACGAGCCCCTGAAGTCCCCAAGGCTTTTTGGCGGTGTGACAGAATCGTAAAGCATATTCTTACGCCAATTTAGACAATTCGTCGCCGGGCTCGCCTGCGCGTTGCTTAAAATCTCCAATCCCTGACCCGAAAAAGATCCACCTAGATGATTACGGCAGCCCTCACATGAACCCGAAGTAAACTGTTCCTCCGATCCCCAAGCCTGAGCCACCTTTGTTTCGTGCCTTGCACACGCCAGTGAATCTCCTTTGGCCGAAATTCCTTGACCTGTGGCTCGAGTGCATTTGGGCGTAGCAGTGGCCGCAGAGCGCCCTTTGGCTGCCCCTCCAAAAAGCTTCGAGGACTGGTTCGATTTCGTACCGACCGTACCGACTTTGCTCGAGGATGAAAGTTGGCAAGTAGCCAGAGACAGCTTCGCTGGCCGGCCGTCGCGCTGAAGTTGTCGGTAGGGTGGGCATCTCGTCAGGGTCTCGATGAGGGGTATCGACGTTCACGACCCGCCGGCAGAGACCTCTTACCTTATCCGGAGTTGAATGAGGAGTTGTTCGAGGTGGTGCAGCAACTGGCACCAGGTGACGCCGTGTTGCGCCGGTGTGTGATGCGGAGATTTAATGCGCAGTTGGGGCTCTTAGTGTGCTCGCTCAGTAAAGACTCCCAATGGCCCCCACACAAGCAACTTCTTCTTCCACTCGGATTCAAACCTCGAGATACGTGGTAACGTGCGCCTGACGGCTCCTGACCAAAAATGTCTCTCGGAACACTTTTGGGCTGGGCCTTGTGCTGCGGGTTCTCTCAGTGTTGCCCATGTGGGCGTCTGCGCACTTCGAGGCTTTGCTTTCGTCGGCAAGGGACCTTGCACATTGTTGAGATGCGCCGGCGGGACATGCAGTGCCACGCCGTCCTCACCATCCAGAGCTGGCGACGGGGCCGACCCCGGCCGACCCTTTGTTCCGGCAGTTGCAGAGGAAAGGGTGATGCAGGAGGATGTCACGAGAATGGATGCCGGCCATCGAGATGGGCTCACATTTTGGGTCCGGTATCATCCTCGAATGGTTGTCAGCAGCAGCTTCATGCCCTCACTGTGTTCTTCGAGAGGATCGGCAAGCAGGTGACCTTGCACCGGTCCCTGGACGGGCAGGAGCTGCTTCCGTACCAGTGTACCATTCTGCGGGAAGATTCGGATCGAGTACGGGAGCGTTTTCACAGGGCCTAGGTTCGTCAGAAGGCAGCATACAGCCGCGCACATGGTGGCCCGACGGCCCCGAGTTTGTTGGAGTCGTTAGGTCCTAGGTTTCGAGAGGACAACAGTCTCAAGTCGTTGCAGCAACGACTACATCAGTCTATCGATGTGAAGGCGGTGGTTCGCAAAGCCTTCATCGATGTCGACGAGCCTGAAGATGTCCAAGACAGTAGGCACCGGACGAGCTCAGCCGTGTCTCGCTGATCTTGTCTATGCGCACTAGGATCAAATAGGGCTAGGGCCAGGATGAAGTGAGTTCAGGCGAGCCGTGGATTGAGTCGAGCACCACGACCCCTGTACGGTGTCTCGGCTTTGGTGTTTCACCCTTCTGCGGCTGTTGTAAAGCCGTCCCAGGTGTGGTCTGTGCCACATGCCACTCCCTTTGTGCGGTGTACAGGCCGTGGCACCTTCTGGCTTCTGCAGCGTTGAGCAACTGGCAACAAACGTTCATCTGAAGCTAGCTTTATTTTTTTGCATCGGGTACTAGTAGCTCGTGTTGATCTGTGCCTCTTCGGACCCGGGTGCACGTGGGTGCGTGCGGGCGTGCTGAACCCGCGAAACGCGACGTGGGCAGGCTCAGCGTTCTGAATTGGAGCTCCGAGCCAAAGCCGCTGGCCTAGACGACCTGATCCGGGAGCAGTTGAGACAGGGTTCCCCTTGTCCGCGTCAGGCATCTTGCTAATATTCTTCTGCCTGGGTTCATGGGTAGATGTAGATGAGCATGAGCAGGTTGTCTTTTGAGACTTCTGGCCAAACAGCCCCTCCTCTCCCAATTCAGATGACAGCCGGAGCCGGAATAGAGCACGGGCCTCCGAAAACAAGAAGAACGAGGACGTGTAGTTTGTTGGGACCCGTTCCTCAAAGAGACCATTATGACATGAAAGTTCAGACTAGTTTATGCCTTTTGCCCTGGTTACTTCAAACCCGGGGTTGTTTGGGCAAGAAGTGTCTAGCTGGGAGCCCTCATATCCTTCAAACCCGCAATCCGGAGCTGAGGATCTGATGCACCGAAACCTCAAACAGCCGTGGGCTCGAGCCGATCTTGGAACCCCGACAAGTTGCCTCGCCTTCGCCCGAACATGGCCCGAACTCAGCCAGCAGCCTGGAGCCAATTCAGCCCGTAGGCCTGAAAGCTTTAAAGGTTTTGGAGTTTCAGCAGGGGTTGTTCAGCATTACGGTGGATTTGGCTGCGTCGTGGGGGTTGTATAGGGTTACCCGGTCCCCCGTGGTTGAGATCGCAGACTTTGTCGCTGTGGAATGCTCCACGTTTTCTCTATTGTACAGAGCCAACGGATTTGAACAATTTTCGAGATGTGTTTCAAGGTGGCTCTCGATTTGACAAGTAACTGGAGAGGCCAGACAGAGACGAAGCAGAACTAGAAACGGAGATGACATTTTGGCTCCTACGCCGGCTTTGCTGGAGGTCAGCCTTCCCACAAACCGCAAACCTTTCCGAATCTTGGGGCTTCGCCAGCCACAACGGTGCTTGAGTTTCATGTCCGCGAATGCTGTCTCGAAGGAGAAAAACCGCCCGAGGCATCCCAATCCTCACCAATATGCCACACCTTGGGTCGGGGTCGCACTGCTGCAGGGTGAGCAACATTCAACGTATTGACGTTCCAAAAGAGGAGGTTGCTGTTCCGCAAAAGCCTACCTTTACAAACTATGCCCACCGACAGGCCCAGGTGGCTGCTTGGTTCTGCGCAGAGGCACCGAGATTGTAGGCCACCATGGCAGCACAAAGGTGGAACAGAGGGACAAGACCCCCAAACCGAAGGAGAGCGATGCAAAGAAGCCCGAGAGTAGGGCCAGCCGTGTTTTGTGTGTCAGAGGAATTTCGTCCAGAACGCGAGAGCTAGACTTGCAGGAGCACGAGAGGTGTGGAAAGGCTCAAAGACCGTTTTCGCCGGGGGTTTCTCAGCCTTCCGAACTCTTTTGCCGGATTTTCGGCTTTCCCACAGATTTTCAAAAAGGTCAGAATATCTTGTAACGAGGCCTCACTCGTGGCCCCCACGTCTGCCAGGGTCGCTGCCATGCCGGTATGCTCCAGGATTTGGAAAGCTGCAAGAGAACCTCAACGGAGATTCTGAAGCGTCGTAGCGCAGGTTCGGCCAAGAGCTTGCTTGGACACGACTTCGTGCAAATGTGGAATAAGACAGCAAAGGCACGCCTCTCTTTGCTGGCGGCTGCGCTGCTATTTGCTCCAGTCTTCTTCCTAGCACAGCTGCCCAGATGCAACTCGAGACACTAGTTTAGCTTCCGCTTTTTGCTTTCGTCAGTTCTTAGATCTTTTCAATTCTTTTCATGCAGTGTTCTTGCCTGTCTTACTGTTTTCAGGAGCTCTTGTTTCTCCGGTTTGCTTCCCCCTTCACTGCTCGTCGAGTTCGAGTCCATCTTTCTTTTCTCTCTCCTCTCAAAATCTCCCTCTCTCCCTCTCTCCCTGCCTTCCCCCTGTGTCTCTCTCTCTCTCTCTGTCTCTCTTTTTCTCTGTCTCTCTCTCTCGCACACTCACTCACACGCGCACCTGCCTCTCTTGGTCTCTCGCTCTTTTGCTCTTTCTCTTTGGGTGGGCGGTCTCTTGTCCCCGCTTCCTTACTTAACAGAGTCCGATCTCTGTCATGCGGTGTGCTTCTCTTCCTTCCATTTTGCCTTCCTCCCTCCCTCAATCCCTTTCTCCTTTCCGACGTCTCTGCTCTCGTTGTTGGCGTTTGCCAGTTTTGGGTTTGTGTCTCGCTCTTGGAACTCAAGTCCGCACCTTGTCTGGTTTGCAAACTTTGTCATCAGAGAGGCTAGCTTAGGGCTAGCTGTATTCCCAATAGACAGCTGAAGCAGATACATCGGCGAACTGTGGCTTCGGAATGGCTTGAGTAGCGGGCGTGCATATGCAACGGAAGCATGCTGTCAATGAAAGTGTATTATACAACATATCAACGCATCGCCGGATCGAAGTAGGAAGTAGCTGGCATGTGGTTCCTACTACTGCCGCTGCATCTATGATTGCTACCACCACCGCCACGACGACGACGACACCGCCGCCACCCCACCAACCGCCACTTCCACCGATACCGCCACCGCCAGCGCCACCGCCACCACCACGGGCACGACCACGACCACGACCACGACGACTACTACCACTACTACAACTACCATGCGGTTTTGTTTGCTTGGTGTTTGTTGGTTGTTGCTGGTGCCGTCGTAGTCGTAGTCGTTGTGATGGTGGTGGCGGTAGTGGTGGTGGTGGTAGTAGTAGCAGCAGCAGTAGTAGCAGCAGCAGCAGCATCAGCAGTAGCCGAGTAGTACTAGACTTCCTGCAAACTCGACCCGCCCTTTTTTCCAAGATCTTGCCAATCTTGGTCGATCCCCATGCAAACTTGACAGTCTTGGGGCGGTCAAGATCTCAGTGCCGTCTTGCAATCTTTCTCCGGGAGGGGTGCAAGAGGATGTGCAGGCTTGCTATCTTGCAATCTTGGTAATCTTGGTGACCGGGGGGGCCGGGGCACTGCGGCTGTGGCTGTGGCTGTGGTTGTGGTGGTGGTGGTGGTGGTTGTTGTGGTGGTGGACTTCGCCGTCATTTGTGATAGTCTTGCTGTCAATCATGTTCGTTGTAATACTATATAACTTAATCATGAGTCAACATTAACCGCATTTTTCTATTAGGTTCACTGTGGTTTTAGTTTTATTGCTCATGTTGTAGTGCACAAGAAGGTGTCAGTGCTTCAACCTCGTTATTCATGGGGATAGTTGTTCGAACGTGGCATGCGTAATATGCGCATCTATGTATCGCACCTCTCGCCGCTGTGACTGTTGTCATTGTTGTTAGTTGTCACTAGTCGTTGTTGTAGCAGATGCTTGGAGTACCTTAGCGCAACGAAGCATGACGGTCACGCCAGATGCTCATAGTGGCCATGGAAGAATCATTTCCTTTTGTGAAAGGACCTTCGTTGCGCCCAGCCCACGCGTGCCGGTGGCAAAGGCGTTTTGCCCAGCTCTGAAGCCCCGGCTGTAGAGATGGTAAGAACTAGATTGGGTTTTTGCGGGTGTTGGGTCGAGTGTTTTCTGGGCATTGTCGAAAATGATCGTTGTGTTGTTATGTAGACGTAAGGACAGGTCATACTGCCTCCACCCACGGCTTGCTTTCTGCCGTCTCGGGTCTCCGAGCCTGCAGGTTCTCCCGCAGGTTTGCAATTCAACCCGCAAGCCTTCCGGTTCGTTGATCTCGGCACACCCGCAATTCTGAACTCGAAAAGCCTTGACTTGATCATAGAACTACGTCATCTACTTTCCAGCTGTCCATCTATCCGCTTCAATACCTGCTGATCTCTTTACTTATCGGCTTATCTCCCTGCCTATATGTCATTATGTCTTAGCTCTCTGCAATCCACCTGTGCCTTTCCGTGTTTTTATCTGTTCTGATAGTTCCATTCCCGTGTCTCCCCGTGGCTCGTCATCTCAACTTCTCTGCTTCTTTCTGTGTGCATCCAAGACAGGCGTCCCATGCAGCGAGTCTCGTGTCCGGCGCCCCCAGTCCAGTGCCTTCCGAAGCGAAGACGTCCCGCCGCGTCGCTTTGGTTGCAATTGATGCGTTCATGGGTTAGACGAGAGTGAGCCATGAAGCACGGCGGGTGTCACACGATTACTATGCGGCTGCTCCAGGACCGGGTTAAGATCGGGTGATTATTCCAAGCGAGGGGTACAGGAGCGGAACTGGGGGCAGGTCAAGAACACAGGGCTTAGGGAGGGAGGGGAATGTAGTCTGTTTGGTTGTTGAACCCCATAATCGGCCGACGCAGTGCTGTCAAAGCTGTATGCAAACTCAGGTGATTGGATGAAGCATTGGAACTGTTGCCAACCTGATCTCCTTTGCCGCCGGACAAACAGAGACTCGCCGACCTAGACTTGAACTGTTCAAGTCCAAATTGAAAGAGGTAGTTTAACTTAATGCTTTATGATGCAAGCTGCTTTTTTTGGGTTGT